GTAACTGGATAATGTAATTATCAATGAGAACATGTGAGCCTCGGGAGGGGTTCAGGGACTGGAGTCTGCCTGACACACCTTTCCTCAAACAGACGCTGACTGCTGAGAGTTTGTCGCTGAAGTCCTAACAGGTTTTTTATCTGCAAGAACACTTTGTTATTTTAGAGTTTTCAACCCTTTTGCCTTTTTTCTTTTCCCATGGTCCCATTTGACAGACAGGTGTAAAGGACTTATTTTCCTTCTAGCACTGAGGTGACAATATGTTGGCTTGTATTCTCTGTGTGTTTAGCAGCCTGTCAACACACACCTGTGGAATTCTGTACCTAATTTCTCAGTAGTTATTTATTTTTGGACATTTTGCCACTGATCTGTTGCCTCTGCTGCACAATTGTGTCCCATGTTAAGTATTATGCGTCTGTTTTCATCACCGATGCAGGACACTTGTCTAGGGAAATGTGTTTACATGTCAAACACAAAAAGAGCCACAGAAAAGAACCACGTTCTTTGATAAATAACCCGAGTGCAGATAGCAGGTTTTTTTCCCATGGTAGAAGACAATGGGACCAGACACAAGGGACTTAGAGAGAGGAAGAGACAAACAGTGAAGAGGGAGCGAGAGGGAAACATTCCTGAACATGTTGTCCAGTGGAGTTCAGTCATTTCTTGTCACTGCAGGGACAGCTGTGTCATTTTCATACCACATGAGTCCTGGACTCACGCCCGGAATGTGATGGATTCTGTCCTACAGGCCACTTGGTTTGTTTGTTTTTATTTCTTTGAGAGATCTAGGTTAAAAAAAGTATTTTTTTTACTTCCTGTTGTTTTATCATTCCAAAGAAAGTTGTTGTGGTAGAAAAATGTGTGAAAACGTGATCGGCTGGTGATATGACACTGCAGATTCCATTTGGAATTTGGAATTAAAAGTTCTATCACTTTTACAATAGTTGTTCTTAACTCAAGCAAACCATATTTAACCATAACCATAACGAAGAGGATGTACAGTATTTCTGCCCTGAGGAGTGTTGGCTACATATTCTCTTCAGCCGTCTGTCTGGCTCACATGGACAAAGGCCGATGAGTGGGGTTATACGATCCAGACTCTGGTGAAGACCAGTAGTTGCCCCCTGAAACAGGAAATCCCCTTACTTCAGCTTCACAGCTCTGTTATGGTCCACTGTCTGTGTGTATTTTTCTGCGGGATGGAGGCTTTGTAGCCATCAGAGTCGGACGTGGTTTTTCAGGAGGGGTAGATACAGTTTTCCAGGGCTAAACCCAAAGAGCACCGGACCACAGTCCTAAGTATCCCCGGGGATGCGCACAAGCAAAGTTAAACAAACACAACCACAGTTTCTTTCTCAGGACACCGCCAAATGCTCCTATTGGCTGACCTGCTACAGGCATCCAGTTTTTTGGGTCATCTTGCATCTGAATTTCTCTTCATGGAAACTTCCAGAGGGGTCTGGCCTCTGTTCTTGACCCCGTTGGGAAAATGCAAAGCTCCATAGAGTGACCCAGTGTGAGGAGAGCTTTCTCTTTGGAATGTTTTGTTTTTCCTTTCTTGTCCTCGTCACAGATTTCAGCCATATCTGATCTTTGAGAGTCGATCCAAAGCTTTCCTTGTGGTGTAATCATGTGAGATCTTAATGAGCCTGTGATTGGAGTGGACCTGCCCTTAAAGAAGGGAGCCAAGTGTTTCACCTTTGTTCTTCAAAGTAATCATCATCATGATGCCAGCTTCGTCATCCTACAGTTGGCACCACTTCCTCTCGGGGGCAGCCTGTGGTTAATGCTGCCGTCTCCTGTGATTGGCCATGAAGGGTTGTGTGGTTGTTAACTGGAGGGTAGCGTTGCCAGCAGGAGGCTGTGGGCTGGGTCACGCCGCTTGGCCTGATCTGTAATTAGCACTGGCTTGTCAGTTAGTCAGGGTGGATCTGTCTGGGAAACTCGAGTCTTGCACACAGACACACATTATACCAAACCAGGGATGGGAAACACGCACATACAGTAGGCAGCAGTGGAGGATTGTCCTCGAGTTTGTCTGTGATCATGTGGCTTTGACTTGTGTCGTCGTTTGATTCTTGTTGGGCTAAAGTGGCTTTTTTTAGGGCTCAGGGTGTGTTTGTGTGTGTTTAAGTGCGCTCCATAGTGGGAAGGCTGCAGCAGTGAAGTGGTTAACAGTCTCGGGGGAGGCTCATGTTACCAGCGCCAGGGCAGGTCCTTTACTCCTTTCACTCACCCCCCCCGCCCCCCCAGTAGCAGTGTGTGTCAGTCCAGAGAGGGATTCAACAGAGCCCGAGGGATGAAGCAGCAGTGCAACTGTGACAAAGGAGCTTGATCTGAGGAACAGGGTAGATGAGGAGGGGAGAGGGTGAGAGACACTGGCAGTAAAGAGAGAGCGACAGAGAGAGAGAGAGAGAGAATTGGTCAGACTGTGAAGTACTTGGCCACAGCAGCCTTGAATCATGAAGCTCTCGGTCCAGCTCAGCATTTTCTCCCAGCACTCTGGTTCCCACAGCAACCCGGGCACCCTGACCAGGTAGGCGTGGGCGTGTGTGTGTGTGTATTTGTGTGTGTTAATACATATGAATGTAATAGAAACGCCAACCTTTGAAATGATAACTTTCTGTGTGTGTGTTTGTGTGCGTGGGACTTTCCCCACGGCTGTACGGATGAGTTGAGTTGCTTGTGGCCACTTCCCTGCTTGTGTCCTGCACGGCTGCTTTCATCTGTGGAACTGTTTGTGTCTCTTCTCAGCTGCTGTTTGATTTACTTTGACGGCTCCGTCCACAAGGATGTTTCCACTCTCTGCCTGTTTGTCACAATCCTTGTGTTCGAGCTGGACAAACAGCAAATGCATCTTAGTGTAGGATTAAACTGTGACACACAGTTAATTACAAAGTTTCTGCAAAGTGTCAGGAACCAGACTTTATCAGTGGTTCAAAGTCAGGTCGCTGCACTGCCTTGCTTTTTGGCCTCGAATTTGATTTGACAGATGGTTGATGAAGAGTGCTGATGAAAAAGGGATGATTTTAATCTACCGGTAATTATAAAGGTGAACAATGTCAAGTAGTTTCAGCTCAGTATCTGAACTTAAAAAGGATTTGCTTAATTTTTTCTCTTTTAGCCACAATTTCTGCTTTTTAAATATTTCCGTTATTTGAAAAGTAAACGTACAAAACATTTAGATAGAACCCAATAAAGAACAGTGTCAGTTGTCTCTCCCTGTGTATGCATGTGTGTTCTGGTGCAGTGAACATCACCCACAGCCTCCCCTCTGCTCCATTCAAAGTAATGTTTGCCAACTGGCCAAGCTTCCTGTAGGGATTCAACAGAGCCCGAGGGATGAAGCAGCAGTGCAACTGTGACAAAGGAGCTTGATCTGAGGAACAGGGTAGATGAGGAGGGGAGAGGGTGAGAGACACTGGCAGTAAAGAGAGAGCGACAGAGAGAGAGAGAGAGAGAGAATTGGTCAGACTGTGAAGTACTTGGCCACAGCAGCCTTGAATCATGAAGCTCTCGGTCCAGCTCAGCATTTTCTCCCAGCACTCTGGTTCCCACAGCAACCCGGGCACCCTGACCAGGTAGGCGTGGGCGTGTGTGTGTGTGTATTTGTGTGTGTTAATACATATGAATGTAATAGAAACGCCAACCTTTGAAATGATAACTTTCTGTGTGTGTGTTTGTGTGCGTGGGACTTTCCCCACGGCTGTACGGATGAGTTGAGTTGCTTGTGGCCACTTCCCTGCTTGTGTCCTGCACGGCTGCTTTCATCTGTGGAACTGTTTGTGTCTCTTCTCAGCTGCTGTTTGATTTACTTTGACGGCTCCGTCCACAAGGATGTTTCCACTCTCTGCCTGTTTGTCACAATCCTTGTGTTCGAGCTGGACAAACAGCAAATGCATCTTAGTGTAGGATTAAACTGTGACACACAGTTAATTACAAAGTTTCTGCAAAGTGTCAGGAACCAGACTTTATCAGTGGTTCAAAGTCAGGTCGCTGCACTGCCTTGCTTTTTGGCCTCGAATTTGATTTGACAGATGGTTGATGAAGAGTGCTGATGAAAAAGGGATGATTTTAATCTACCGGTAATTATAAAGGTGAACAATGTCAAGTAGTTTCAGCTCAGTATCTGAACTTAAAAAGGATTTGCTTAATTTTTTCTCTTTTAGCCACAATTTCTGCTTTTTAAATATTTCCGTTATTTGAAAAGTAAACGTACAAAACATTTAGATAGAACCCAATAAAGAACAGTGTCAGTTGTCTCTCCCTGTGTATGCATGTGTGTTCTGGTGCAGTGAACATCACCCACAGCCTCCCCTCTGCTCCATTCAAAGTAATGTTTGCCAACTGGCCAAGCTTCCTGTCCCCCACAGACTCAAACACACACACACACACACACAGACACAGAGACAGAGACAGAGACACACACAGATTTTCCTAAATGTCCCCTACCCCATGGTGTTTGCTCTGTTCAGCTGGATCTGTTTGAACAACTCACAGACACACATGCGCGCCATGATGTCACCCCACCATCGGGCCTTTGTTCCTGTGACTGACAACCCATTCAACTGCTGTGTGTTTGTTTGTGCTTGTGTGCAAGTCCGTTAAGACAGATGGACAGAGGACGAAAATCACTGGGCAGTCAAAGATTCTGAATTCATGTTTTTGTTGATGGTTGGTGCGCTGACTTTTCATTTGACGTGGCTTTTGTTAATGTGCGGAAATGATGGTAATTATTATTAGTAAACAGAGGGAAAGTACTTCCTCTTTCTCCTCTGCAGGAGGTGCTGTAAATGCAGTTTCATTAGTGTGCTGGCACAGTGCTATTCAACAGCTCATACTTTATTCTGCAGGAACAAGTCAGTCATATATAGATGTTGAATGAAGACGAACACAATAAACAACTTTTCAGGGACAAAAAGTCTGGGTTGAGTTTTAGTATCACACTTGTCAGTTTGAAGATGACCTAAAAACCTGGCTGTCTTCTCCTCTGTGTACAGCTGGGATGACAGCAGCTCTGTGAGCAGTGGCATCAGTGACAACATTGACACGGATGACATCAACACCAGCTCCTCCATCTCCTCCTATGCTAACACGCCTGCAGCACAGCGCAAGGGTCTCAGCACGCAGGTATGACTTAACCACATTTCATGTTCACACCCACGTGAATGTTGTAATGTTTTTAGTGAGCAATTTACAGGTTAGAGCAGTGTTTTTCACTAAGGAGAGGGCTAGAAATCATTTCAAATTCAGCTTGTTTGTTGTATTTTAACAGAAAGAAAAAAACCTATTAAACCTTCGTTGTGTTTTTGATCACTGATTGTTGAAGGTGAGCTGTAGTGCCTAGAAAATATTGGAAACAAATGCTCACAAAGCTCACTTCATCATCACAGACAGTGGCCACAGATAAGATAATATTTCTTGTCTTTTTTTAACTCAGTCATGTCCCATTATGCGTCTGCATAAAGGAAAAGTGAGGCCATGTCTGGGTCGCACAGCTGTGAACCTGCAGACCTACAGCTGATGTTGACTCAGGCCTCAAATCATTAAAGGCTGATTAACAGCCACGTTACGGTTACCACACACACACAGATTCAAACACATACACACTCGATTGTAGCTGATGTGGAGCGAGTCATCACCTGACGTAAATCCATTACGACAACACGGGAAACGCTGCTGTAAAAGCAAAGCAGAAGACAAAGGAGCCTTATTCTCAGTACAGTAGCCGCGACCAGGCGCTGGTTAATAAAGTCTGTCTCATCCGTCCCCCGGTAATAACACACTTTGAATACAGTGCCGCATTTTTCTAGCGTTGCCCGGACGGCTTCAGAATCGACTTGAAAGCCGCCGTCATCCCTTTAAGAGCTGTAATTTACTGCGTTAAATTAAAGCTTTGCTGAAGTGGCCGTGAACAACAGAACCATCACCAAGTGCAACACTCAGTGAGTGTTTGTGGTTTCAACAAATGCATCTAAATTTCTGTTTTCTATTCCTTATGTCCTGTACACAGTCTAAAGGTTTAAGTGAAACAGCTGCAGGGGCCAATGAAGCACTTCCTATTGTTGCCTGACATTTGAAAAGCCAAAATATTTAAGTCTCAAATTCTGCCCTGGTAAAATGCTGTAACATGTGGAGATAAATAAAAGGACAGAAGCTGAGATGCCACCGTGATGTGGCCTGCAGGTCCAAACATCAAAGTTTCATTGTTCATCAAAGTAAAAAAAAAAGTTATCAGGAGTCAAGTTTTTACTGCTTTGATAAACATGTTATAAAAGTCCTTTAAAAAACCCTTATTAGACCCTATTATATTTTTCTTATATTGAAAACATGAAATTATTTATATATGTTTAGATTAATGGTTTTTTCCCTATATATAAGTTGCATAGGTAAAAACTCAGGATGAAACCAGGAGAACTCTCTCTGCAGAACAAACTGTTCAGGTGGCAGTGGAGTGGATTCCCTGGAATGATGGTTGTGGTCATAAAATGGAGTGGTTTTTAGCCTCTTGGCAATGTCTTACAAAAGTCGCTTTCTTCAGCAGTAATAAATCCGTCCCACTCTGTGTGTGTGTCCTCAGCCGGTAACAGATGCAGAGAAGCACTCGGCCTCCACTGTGCTGAACCAGGCCTGGTCAGGAGAGGAGGTGAAGAGGCCAGACTGTGGGTCAGACAGCGGGGTCAGGATGGAGCCAGGTTCCAAATGGAGTCGACGGAACCCTTCTGACATTTCTGATGAGTCTGACAAGGGCGGCTCAGGAAGGAAGACCCCCTCTGTGACTCACACAGGCTCCTGGAGGAGAGGCATGAGCGCCCAAGTGGGCGTGACATCACCAAGGACTAAAAGCACAAGTAGCACGGGCTCAACGGGCTCCATCAACATCAAGAACAACAATTCAGGTACAATTTGAATATTTACCGTTGGAATATTAAAGTAAAGAAGTAAATTATGTCTTATTCAGAAATCTGGTCTTCTGTGTGTCCTGCAGCTAAGACGGATGATGTCAAGGTGTCAGAAAAAGGATGTGTCTCTTCTCGTACGAATGGTCTTCACCACTCATCTTCAGAGGCGGGACGCAGCAGTGGTGAAGAGATGAAGAAACATTCCTCCTCCAACAGCCACACATGCACACCAAATCCCCTCACTCACACCGTCTCCGACTCACACGCTCCCATGCACACATTGGCCTCCAGGACCCCGACCAGCACCTTCGGCTTCAAAAAGCAGGGACCAGGGATGGTGACGCTGGTCACAGCCAGCGGTGCCACCATCACCAGTGGTTCAGCCACGCTGGGGAAGATTCCCAAATCAGGGGCACGTTCTTTGGCAGGAGGCCTCAAGGCTGGTGGACATGATGGAGTTTCAGTCCTTGGTCACCACGACGACAACTTCCTTCCTATGAGTGCTCGCTCCACGCTGCAGTACCGCAGCTTGCCCAGACCCAGCCGCTCAGGAGCTGCTGCCCGCA